GAGTTGACTTGGACGAGTCAACACTTTTGTTCAAAGAGCTCCAACAACAGAATAAAAGAAAAGAAAATTGTTGCATATCATGTATGTCATGTAATTGATTCTTTGCTATCAAACAACAACAACAAGCTGTCCATCCCAAATAATCCATCAGCTATCCATATTATATATTCTGAGAATAACAAAAACTGCGCTTAAATCTAGAAGTTCAAACTCTGATGTGCCATACCAAGTACACCAAAATTCCCCATTATTAATAACAATGAAAAGATATAGTACCAGCAAGTTACTTTACATTAACCTGGATGCCCAACAGTTTAAATCATCCTTTAACCAAACAAAAGACAGTATGGGACTATGAAACATCAAACAAAAGGCAAAATAACAAAAGAATGAAACAAAAAAAGACAAAGGCAAATATAAGATGAAGAAAAGAAGGAAAAGGGAAGGAGAACTATAAGATACTGACACATCTCTTGCTCAAAAATGTTCCCTCGTGTCTCATTCCCCAAGTGCTCTTTTCTTTTATTTTTCTTTTTTAACTCTTGAAAAATAGAAAGCAATGATGTGTAGAGGCAAAAAGGCAGAACAGAACTTTCCATCTTGCTGTTCCTTTGATTCTTTTAATTTCAATTGCTGTATTCCTCATATTTGGTTGTGTCTTTGTGACTTATAAAAAAATCACAGCTATTGACTTGGTGACCTTCAATAAAGCTTGGGCTGACTCAGCCGAGTTAACAAATGACACAGAAAACAGACATGGTCAGGCTCTTTGCCAAAGAACCAGGGTCTGAAGGCCTTTTTGACTTGGTTGTTCCTTTAAACCTGTGGCTCAGCCAAGTTCCAACATTGCTTACTAATCTAATGATAAAATCAAGTGATGGGTCAGAATTGGCTACAAGAAATAGCTCTAGTACAAACCAACACTATGCGAAGAAGCACAGCAAGGTTAAGTGGCTCAATTGACAAAATCGTAAAGGTCTTCATATTTTTTTGTTCAAAAGAATCATACATGCTGAAATGATTCAACTGACCATATAAAATCTCAATCAACTTAACCCGTAGAATATAGAAAATGAATATTAATATATATGTAAGACAATCAGTTATTACTCCATTTCTAAATTAATCAATCTTTTGTAGCAAAAAATAATTAGTGATTAATCATGGACCAACAATTTCGTACTTCCAAATACTTCCACCAACCATTATATAACCTATTAACACAGTTTTGTTCAAATATAGCCGTCATAGATACTATCACAGCAATGTAGATCAAGGTCCAAATCAAGGGGCTTTCCTTCATATGTATCCCTGCACAAGTTGAAAACTTTTGCCCATTAGGAAGTTCATATATATCTCTTTTGTAACTTAGTTTATCAGATACCTTTAGAAATCAATCAATATACCAATTTCTGGTGTGCATCAAGATAAGAATGTACAAATGGAAGTTTCCAGATAAAGATCTAAAAGGTGTGTATCATGTAAATCTTTTTATTTTGAGAGAAATACATTAAAAATCGCTACAAATTTATAGAGTTTGTTAGAAGCACATATGCAGCTTTTCTTAAGATTTAAGGCTTGCCTGAGTATTTATGTTGCTTGGATCAACTCCATAATTCTCAAGCACATAAGTAGCTATACCTTCAACCCCACGAAGTAACCCAATAAGCAAGTGCTCCAATCCTATATAGTTATGACCTGAAAATTCAACAAATTATAGTTCAACTCCCACCTCCATCCCACTAAAAAATGTGCCAACAAACAAAAGTTCATGTGGTTGTCCTTGTTGATTGTGTATGCATGTTGTCTTGTTATAGACATGTTGATGAAAAGATTTGGAAACCAAATATCCAAAAAGCTAAGAGAGTTGCTACACATGCTGTCTGGACAAGCATAACAATAGATATCGCAATCATAGCTTGTAGTGTTGGTCAATTCCACTACACTCAATCTATATCAATATCGTCAAAGGCCGATCATATTTTAGCTAAGTCCTCGGCCTTATACCGACAAATTACTTTAAAATTACAAGAACTGATAAAGATCAATTAAAATTAGTCGATTTTGACCAATTCTAGTTGACTTGACAGACTCAAAAGAAGAGAAAAGGAAGGACAGGCAGGAGGGAATGGGCAAGAGCAAAGTCTAGAGGGAGAAAAGTCAAAAACGAAACTGAAACATAAGAGATGCTGCTACCATTATGTTTGTTAGTCATTTAAACTCTTGCATTTGCCATTTATCATCATTCACCATCCACTACCACATTAGATATAGAGGCAGGGGGAGACTAGAGACAACTTTTAACCTCTTGTGGAAATAGGAATATCATCACAAAGCAGGGAGATGTCATCAGATTTGGAACTGATGTCAAATTTATGAGCACTCCTTACACTTTAATGGCTTTGTGTTTGGTAATATTTAATTTATTTTTTGTATTGAGAATAGATGAGAGACTCTCGTTAAAGGCGACTGCTTAAGCGCTTATTCGGTAAATAAGATGCAGGATGCCTAAGTTATTCATCAGGAACATCAGATATAGACAATTAAAACCATATATAACATATGTGTAGAAAAAATAAATACATATGTGAAAATATTGAACATAACAATGCACACAACATATATTATTAGTGGCAGTTAAGGTACATCCAAATGCTAATAATAACAACTTTCAAGACATGTATGCTTAAGTTAACTCCAAAATCAATAATATCACATATAGAAATGTGGGTTCAAGGGGACTACTCTTCCCCTTGACTGGTAGTGAGTGCAAGCGAGAATCACAATGATGCTAAATATATGTACACTCACTAACACAAAAACACAAGTGATAGACTATATCAATAAGATAATTGCACCTCAAGAATTACAAGAAGTGAAAATTTAAGAAATGTGATAAAAACAAGAATCGAAGGTAAGAAAATAGGAAACCAGAAATTGCCATATGGGTCAACTAATAGCAAATGGAAGATCAGAAACTAGTACTAAATAATAGCACTTGAAATCAACAAATAAGATACAAAGAAGTTACAGTTGAAAAAGTCCGATCTACAATAAAAGCTCCATTCCTAGGAAGTTCAGTAGAAAATACCAAGTTGACGAGCTTCCTTCAACGAAAGTTCTAAGACATGCTTTGCTTGCGGTGAAAATGGCATATCAGCTACAAATTTCCTTCCCCCTCGAATAACCTTTTGAACATGTGCATCTTTAGGATTGTTTCTCACTGATTTTAAATCATTTACAGTGACATCAGTGCCTTCACCAATAAGAGCATCCAATATTTGTTCTGTCCCAACATATTTATGGCCTAGCCGTCTTGCTTCTTCTTGGGCAAGGATGATAACCTTGATTGCCTTCTCTGTGAAGAGGTCAAGCATGGCTGCAGTGACTCCCTGCCTAGCTTTTCCCAGTTGGTTATAGACATACCCTGAGACCACACAATGAAGACCACACACAGATCTTGATAAAAATTTCAAATTATCCGTTATTTGCAAGCCCATAAAGCCTCTCAAACTTGGAAAATATGGTTGCAGATGGCACATCTTATTGCAAGGCCTTCTAGCCTTCCCAGATCTCTGAAGCTGCCATTGGCTCCTACAAGCACCTACAACGGGAAGGGTGGTGGGCTGAACCGAAGCACTGGCCATTCTTTTTAACGATCAGGAACAGCTATATTAATGAATACTCATGATACCTGCATGAAAGAGATCGTTAACCACATAGAAATCATCATGATAAAAGGGTTACAGTGCTTACAGACATAAGGCGGCAGACAGTTGTTTCATAAAAAGAAATCACTTGAATGTTTCAACATGTTTAAAATGGTAAATGTACAGAAGCTTCCTAAAACACCAAAGAAATATCTCAAATCAAGAACATCAGGCCCTCAATTTTTCCCCTAAGAAGTTTAAGGAGCTAGATGACACTCATGCATCAAAGCAAATACCATGGTCCTATGTCTGTTGTCCAATTGGTTGATAAATGCAATCAAAATACAGCAACTTAGCTCAGTCTCAGCAGATCAAATAAATGTTCCCAATCCTAACTGAGCAATTAATCTCTCCAAACCAAGATGAATTGCGTTCAAATCAATCAGAGAAACTGTCATGTAGAAAATTCATCAGAACAGTCAGTCACCAACTCGATTCTCACCAGCACTACATGCTTGCGAAGGAACGGAGCAACAGAGAACGAGCAAAATAATAGTGGAATTGGGCGAGCAGAGGAATAAGTACCTCCAATCTGGTGAAGTTGGATTTGAACTCGGACGGCAGGCCCCTGGGACTTGCAAACAAGAAGGCTAGGGCAGCGACAGATACTGCGTACGGCAGTTATGTGAAGGAAGAGGACGAGGGGGCGGCAGCGGCAGCGGCGTTGGCATCGGAATGATCGAATGAAGGGAAGCCCTACTCGCCGTTGCATTTGACGGCATCACAGAGTAAAGCATATTGTTTAATTTAATTTTACATAAGACATTATCTTTTAAAAAATATTTTATCTTTTTAAGACAATTATCTAATTTCTAAAACTGATATCCCAAAATATTTCAGATAAGGAATATGAATTTTCTAATAATTTATATTTTTAAAGGATGTTATACAAATTAGAAATTTATTTAGAATTTTAAGTTATAATATTGTAAATTGTTATTTAAAAATAAAATATAATTAGATAATAAAATATATGAAGGATTAATTGTGAGACACAAACTATTCTTTGTTGAGATCTAATAACTTGTATTTCTCTTTTAAAAAAAGATAAAATATGGGTCTTATATACAAAAAGTGAGATAGGAGATGTGATTGATTAATAAGGCATATTTTGGACCAAAGACACGTGACATCCGATGCCACACACTAGGTCAAAATCTGTATAAAGGCGCTGTTCGACCCGTGTACCACCACGCCAGCTCGAGAATCAATAAGGGGAACACCCCCACATGCCAAGTCAGAATCTGTATCGAGACGTTGTTCAGCATGTTTCGTCCCGGAAACTTGAGGCGGCACTGTCTGACGCTGCTCCACACGTCCCGAGACGGTGGCCGATGTTATGACCCTTTTTCTGAGCTTTTGAATAATGTTTATTGAGTCTGTTTAGTCCAGTTGTTTATTGAGTTGATTTTTCCTTTTATTTTTTGTGCTTTCCTTTTATTTTTTGTGTATTTATTAAGTCTGTTTAGTTTAGCTAAAATCAGAACTCTATAAATAGGGATGTAACTGCTTCTTTTTTATCATCTATGAAAAATAATATTCTGTCTTTGGACAACCCTAGGAGGTCGATCCCCTCGAAGTGATCAAGGAGGGTCGATCCCCTCGAAGCGATCAAGGAGGCCGATCCCCTCGAAGCGATCATTATCATCCCCATTTCTCCCTTTTCTTTTCTTCTTTTTTTATGATAAGACTTTAGGGTCTTATCATTTGGTATTAGAGCGACGATAAGACCTTTAGGGTCTTATCATTTGGTATCAGAGCAGCGATCCTTGGCATTCTCGTTGCAACGAAGCTATAAAAAAAAAAGAAAAAAAAGAAGAAACGAATAAAGAAAGAAAGAAAGAAAGAAAGAAAGAAAGAGAGAAGAAGAAGCAGCAATCGCAGCCACGCACCCCTGCTTCCCCTGCGTCCGGCCAGCCCACCCGCCGGCCGTCGCTGCTCTCCGGCCAGTAGCTACATCCCCGCATCCTCGCAGCAACCCTTCATTCCCATAGTGTTGCCACCAATTGCATCACAACAGCAGCACCGAATAGGACAGTGATTGATGCCCTTAACCAACACCAAAAATAGGAGTTGAGATTATAGATTTACAGTCTTACGAAATGGCCACCGATAACTTAGTGAAAGCACAAATGGAAGCATTAAAAATTAGAATTGAGAACCAGTTACAAGAAGTACTTAATGATTTCAAAAAGGATTTACTATGGAGCCTTAGTAAATTTCAACAAGGTGTGAGCTCAAGTTCTACATTGCATAGATATGGAAATACTAGAAAAGGGTCCCAAGATTGTGACACAATCTACTCAAACATGAAGGTGGATGGACAGCTCTCAAAAATTTGTCAGACTTCTATAGTGTTGGAATATCAGAGTAGGTTTGAAAGATTATCAAATCAAGCTAGAGATTGGTCGGAACGATAACTTCTGGATACATTTATTGAAGGTCTTATTCCAGAGATTCGGTGTGAAGTTAAGGCTCGTCAACCCCGCACTATGATAGCTGTGATCTCATTCGCACATATACATGAGAAAAAAATCAACAGGGAAAATCATGGAAACAGAAGTGACAACAACCAGATGATTAGTAAGCCACTGGCCCCATCTATTCCCAACCAAACCCTTGACACCCGAAGACTAACCCAAGAAGAACTCAATGAAAAATTAGCAAAGAGTTTGTATTATGATGAAAAATGGAGTATGGAGCATCGATGTAAACAATGGCAACTTATGATGATTGAACCAATTGGAGAGGAACCGAAAGCTAAGAATGTGGACTCCGATCATGAAGGTATAAATTCTAATGAAGAGGTTGGACCTACCATATATACAATGCATGCATTAGCCGACTACTCTAACCTGCAAATTATGAAAGTTGGCGAAACTCTAGAACATCAGCCTGTTATAGTTTTGATTGATACTGGTAGCACTAACAATTCTATAGACAGTGAGACCGTTGACCGATTGGCCCATCACATTGAAGACAATGACAGACTCGAAGTAAAGATCATTAATGGACGGATTTTCACTTGTGATAGCAAATGTTCAAAGATAAAATTGATTATACAGGGCCAAAAGTTTCATGCAATGATTACTACACTAAAAAATTGACCTATTGCTTACACTCTCAAAAAGTGGAGACCATACTTACTTGATCAACGAGTTGTGATGCGTTGTAGATAGTCTATGGCTAAAGTGCTGAAAGCGAAGCTCCCTAAGATTGATGCTGCTCAGCCTTGAGGACAAGGCTGATTTGAAGAGGGAGGAACTGTTATGACCCTTTTTCTGAGCTTTTGAATAATGTTTACTGAGTCTGTTTAGTACAGTTGTTTATTGAGTTGATTTTTTCTTTTATTTTTTGTGCTTTCCTTTTATTTTCTGCATATTTATTAAGTTTGTTTAGTTTAGCTAAAGTCGGAACTCTATAAATAGGGATGTAACTGCTTTTTTTTTATCATCTATGAAAAATACTATTCTGTCTCTGGACAACCTAGGAGGACGATCCCCTCGAAGTGATCAAGGAGGGTTGATCCCTTTGAAGTGATCAAGGAGGATCGATCCCCTCGAAGTGATCAAGGAGGTCGATCCCCTCGAAGCGATCATTATCATCCTCATTTCTCCCCTTTCTCTTTTTTTTTTTACGATAAGACTTTAGAGTCTTATCATTTGGTATCAGAGCGACGATAAGACCTTTAGGGTCTTATCAGCCGGTCAGAAGTGTCGTCTTAACTCTCGAAGATCAGGGGTCACGCCGAACCCGTGTGCAACCAACCCTCGTACAATAGTATAAAAGCCTATGGCTGGCATCCGGCCTAGGGAGAGGTAAAAAAAAAAAATAATTCAACCCACAACTGACTTGCTCGTCGGAGGGGCCAAAGTCGGGAATCACCCGACGAAGATCATTTTTGTAGGAAAACAGCCACCTACGACCCACGAGCGTCCCAACCTTGGAAGTCGCCAATCGATGTCCCCAAGGTGAGCCATCAATCGGTACCCGAACCGAGAGACACTGATAAAGACCCCGTCGCGAGGGTCCGATCGATTTTAGCATCCAGCTCGACAAACAAAAGACTCCTGACATCAATCCGTGGATCAGGCCGTGCTGACTCACCAGCCACGACACGTTTGTTCACCAACAATCATCATAATATAGTATGCACCCAGGAGGATCTTGGGATCTTTTAGTAAAATGGACAAATGAGAGGAAATTAGTCTTTACATAAATGTCGGAAACGTTCAGGTTCTTCATCACAGTGTGAACAGCATTAACTTCAATAAGGATGGAAAGTGTACTAGCAAGACGGCTTCCCCAACTCCGACGGCAGATAGGTGCATGGACCGTGAAACAAATTCATAGCCACTGTAGGGTAAGAAGATATGATTGTGGGTGCTCGAATCTAATTAAAAAATTAAATTGAATCAAAATTAAATAGTATAAATTAATTTGGCCCGAATCGATCCATCATTAATTAATTTGATTTTGAAGACTATAAATTATTCTAACTCTACGGAGTATTCTTCTTTCGTCTATAAATCGGTTTGAATCGTATTATCCCAATTTCGTCTATAAACCCTTAATCAATTTAATCTGATTAATCTAATCGATCTAAATGATATTATCCCAATTTCAATATCATGATTTCACAAATGTCATGAGCCCAATTGTACAAATATTATCGTGTCCACCCAATTGACTACAGACTTCGATTTGATTCAATTAAATTAAATCAGTTTATCAAAATTTTATATTATATATATTAATCGATTAACTGTATTAGATTAATCATTTTTAATTAGTTCAATTAGGTGGATCTGAAAATGGTTTCAGTTCAACATATTTTATCGAATCAAAAAATTAATTTGATTCAATTTTTTATAAAATCGAATCGACTAAAGACTTCGATTCAACTCAAATTGGTTTGAACACCCACATGAATGCATCATAAAATAAAATTTTAAGATAAAATCTTACCTTATCTTTGCTTCGAGTTCTTCGCTCCTCTCTCTCTCTCTCTCTCTCTATAAAGCTAAAGAGGAGAATCAGTTAAATAACAATCATCAAAGATTTTGATTGAGGATTGTTTGTCAACATCATCGCTTTCCATAAGCAATAATCCAAGATGCCACTCTTTAAAAAGTTCTAATCGAAGAATGTTTCGAAATAAAAAGGCATTATGTCACGAGAAGAAAATATAAGAAGACGAATCAGAATCCAGTTTGCACTGGAAACAATGATCAACTTAACACTAAATTGAAAGCTAAAAGAAAAATACCAAAAAGAACTTGCGGATGAAGAGTTTGACTTTAGATACCAATCTTAATTACCAAGCCACCTTCCAATCTTAATTCCCTTCAGAGAATTCAATCTCCTACTTCACAAGATAAGATACTATTTATCGAAGTTCTTACTGAACTAGAGTCCAAACCCATTTGTTATCACTGATCTATTAAAGAAAAAGATAAACTTAGATCCTATTAATTAAAGAAGGGTGAAACATAATTGAAAGTGAAGCCATCCATAAAAAGATAAGAAACGAAGGTAAAAAAGGAAAAAGAAGAAGATGAGTAGCGTAAACATCAATGAAGGAAAGGTATTAAGAAAAGGCGTAAGCACATATAGAAAATCACATTTGAAGTGTTAATCCATGAGAATTGTCAACTTCAAATTCATTTTAGAAATTTAATAATCAGAAAATGACAGATAATAAGTTATTTGCGTCGCATCAAGGATCAATTCTGATATTATTATATTTAATTATACACAAAATGCTCGATCCGTCAACTTGTAATAATAATACCAAGCTATCTCTTTCCTCGGATCCTCACCGGCCATCCCTCAAGACTTTTCTGCCTTCCCAGGGATAATTCTTTATATATATACATATAAAGCCATGACATGATTCTGTGTACCGGAGACCCACCCTTTCCAATGGAATCCTGTACCTTGCGTAAGAATCTTTCCCCGCTTTTATATGTACCGCATCCCAACTCTTGCCGCGTCAACGAGTCATTTGCCTCCTCATCCATCGCCGCGCACCGATTCCACCATCTTTATTGGTGGGCCTCGATTCCGCAATGAAGGCGCATCGCACGCCTCTCAAAGCATGATGAGCGTAGATCAAACGTGTCTACGGTCCAAATCCCTCGTGCGATTTAGCAGCCCATCGTATTCCTCTTCCCACCTATCAGCGTTTTCATTCGACGTGCACCCGTCAGTTTACTATTAGGCAAGTCAACACCTTCCTCTCCCTGTTGGCTTTAAGAAATCAGATTAAATGTCCGAATTGACAGCTACAGTCGTTGATTCTTTATTGCCTCTTGATAATTGTATATTTAAATACGGATAATTATTTTTAAATTTGGTTTGATCAAGTAAGATGGGACGATGGAGATTCTCCCACACGTGCTTCTTTGACGCCCGTTAAAGGGCCAACGGATGGCTCCGCGGCGGCCACGTTGCGCCACTGGTCAGCCACTCGTCGCATCGAGCTTGCGGGCCATGAGCCGTTGGTTCGCCAGCAGGAGATCGGGGCCGTCGGATGGGGAGCTAACCTTGCGTGTTGGGGTTCGCGACGCTGGTAGTGGCCCGTCGTGCCACGTGGCTGATCGCCGCATTCTGCGACAGCTCCTCCGCTCTCGCTCCCCGCCTCTCATCACCGCCCGTGGAGAAATATCCCCGCCGCGTCGTTTCGTTATCAGGAAGAGTGAAACGACCGCGAGTGACTTCACCTCACTTTCGTTGAGCTATAAAAGAAGCCCCAACCTCGGTTCGTCGCCCTCCTCCCCTTTAGTATAGCTCCCTCACTGTCTAACTGCTTCCGTGCTTCTCATCTCTTTGGTGTTGGGTGCGCGAGAACAGAGAAAGAACCCTAATCGTTCGTCGCTTCTCTTCATGTTCTGCTCTTGGTAATCGATGATTTCGGTTCAAGAACCCTAGATTCGAATCGACCTGTGCTCTTAAATGCGGTTTGTTTGGCAGGCAATCGGAGATCGAGGAGGAATTCGACGAGTTTGCTGAGATTCCGAGATAACCATGGCGGGAAACCCTCGGAGGTTCACTGTAGGTTACGCTCTCGCTCCCAAGAAGCAGCAGAGCTTCATCCAGCCCTCGCTTGTCGAACTCGCACGCCGGCGAGGCATCGATCTCGTCCCCATCGACGGCACCCGGCCCCTCGCCGAACAGGGACCCTTTGATTGCTTGCTCCACAAACTCTACGGCGAGGATTGGAAGGCCCAGCTTGACGATTTCGCCACCAGGAACCCTGGCGTCCCCATTGTCGACCCTCCCCTCGCCATCGAGCGCCTCCACAATCGCATCTCCATGCTTCAGGTCGTCTCCGAGCTCGAGATTCCCCAGAACAGGGAGACCTTCGGGATCCCAAGCCAGGTCGTGATCTATGATTCCGGCACCCTCTCCAACTCCGGCGTCGTCGGGGCCCTCCGCTTCCCCGTCATTGCTAAGCCCCTGGTGGCCGATGGCAGTGCTAAGTCTCATAAGATGTCCCTTGTTTTCCACCGGGATGCCCTCCTAAAACTCAAACCGCCGCTGGTGCTGCAGGAGTTTGTGAACCATGGCGGGGTTATCTTCAAGGTGTATGTAGTGGGGGATTACGTTCAGTGCGTGAAGAGGAAGTCTCTTCCGGATGTCTCCGAAGAGAAGTTGGAGTGTTCCGAGGGGTCGGTCACCTTTTCGCAGGTGTCAAATATGACGACACAGGACCCAACGGAGGTAGAGTATTACATGCATCTGGATGAGGCAGAGATGCCTCCGTTGAGCTTTGTCACCGAGATAGCGAAGGGTTTGAGGCAGGCGATGGGACTGTGCCTTTTCAATTTTGACGTGATCAGGGATGTGAAGGTCGGAAACCATTACGTTGTGATCGACATTAACTATTTTCCCGGGTATGCGAAGATGCCATGTTATGAAAACGTCTTAACGGATTTCTTCTGGAATATCGTTCATGAGAACAAAGGACAAGATGCTGAAGTCTCGGCCATCAGCAGCAATGACAAAGATAGTAAGCTTTCGGTTGGCAATCACTGCAAGATGGCAGAAGATATGGAGAACGATGGATGAGGTTCGCGAAGCTGCCTTTCTTTTAGAAATCTGATTTTACTTGAGTACTTGAAAGGTACAATTTGCACTTCTCTGCAAACTAAGATGATCTAAGCATTATGAATATGGCTGCATGCTGTGGACTTGGCTGAATAAGTAGGTTGGGCATAGGCGTTTCTAACTTTGTGACGAGTTTATTTGGTTCTTACATTGACAATGTACATCCTTCATTTTGTGGCAATAATTAGTCACACATCCTTCTAACATGCGTCAACTGGACAATTAGAAGTGTATGGTCTGTGGTTTTTTCAAAAGGATTACATTCTGATTCCAATCAATCAGGCATCTGTAGTACATGTAAGTTTGCAATTTGCCAACCTTATAAACCTACCGTTGAACTTCAGTTTTACTTGATGTTCCTTCTACTGAAATGATACGTTATTATTATCTGTTTTCATTTGGTTGATATTTGTTGTGCACTACATTTTATACTTCCAATCATATAACTTTCTTTTGGATATTGCAGTCAGCAACTTGCAGGATATTAGGGTAACAACTATTTGTAGGTTTTAAAGGATAATATCTCAAAGAATGGCTTGAAACCTGTAGGACATATAAAATAGTATGATGATGAATTGTATGGGGTATCCTATGCTAGGTTCTATCTGCTGGCAGATGGCACAGTTTTCTTTTGGCCAGCACTTGGATGAATAGGCACTTGCAGCTATAGCCCAAAAAAAGAGCGAAAAGATCGACAATCACATGAATAAATGAATGAAGGATTCTTCTGCATCATACCTAATTAATCTTTTTTTTTCATGTAAAGGACTTATTTGATTCCTTATTTGTTGACACATAAGGTTTGTTGCTAGTCCATAGACACTAAGAGCATGGATTGCCTATGCTGTCTGCATGCATTTATTTGAAAAGACCCTTTGTAACATGGGCGTTCGTATTTTTAGGGAGAGAATCCTTTGGGACTCTGTTTCTAAAGGTCGAGAGATAAGAATGCCCTTTCCTTGGCTAGTGAAGCCTAAACCTTAACTACAGTTAACTATGTTACAACTCACTCGTATAGGCTAACTAACCTACAGTTGACTATGTTACAACTCACTCGTATAGGCTAACTAACCTAGCCATTTGGAATTAACATTGCCTAAAACTGCATTACACACAATAATTAAGTCAACGTTATCATTAGTAAATCCATCTAAATCCTATACACTAAAATAACTCATGATCAAGAATTGATATGAGATTCTTTGGTTACCACAACCTAGTCATTTGGATATAACATTTCCTGGGACTACCATGACACAAAATACTTAAAGTCAGTAAAGATCTATGTACTTGTATATAGGAGTCATTTGGAAATAACATTGCCTATAACTACACAACTCAGATTACTTGAGTTGATGTCTTAATTGGTAGGTCCATCTGATAGAACTCACCATCAATTCTTGATATGAGACTATTGGGGTATTACTAACTAGTCATTGGATATAACATTGCCTATGAGTATGTCCATCTAATCGTATAATACTATTAAGGTATATAATATATCACAATCTTTTCCACTTAAAATATTAATTTGCTCATAGAGACCTAATAATATATATGGTCTATAATTCACCTTTGGGGTTCCAATGTGAGTTTGACCGTCCAAGAAAGTCTCCATTTTATTGTGTATCAAGTAGCCCCATATCTCAGCACATGTCACCCATACTCGGTGGCCCGCTGATTTGTTTTGACACCAATCATCATGATATGGTCTGGTATCTGACAGATTTGGTGACTCGGATATAATGAGTCTAGCAGTATATGATGCATGGTAAGCACAAGCTTTTGGTAGAGATGACATTGGTCTTTGGCCTGCATCTTTGGGCACTGGGGCAACTAGTGTTGCACTAAATTTGCTTAACGCAACCAAAGAAAATGCAAGTTGAAGAAGGAACTAGCGTTTTATGCCAAAGCAGCAAGCACAACAATGTGGAGCACACATCTAGTTATACCTGTAATGTTTGAGATTGAGTCATGACAAATGAAACATTTTCTTGATTCTTCCTAGTCTCCAGAGAAAGATTGTCAGTGACTTGCCAACACATTTTCCAGAAGAGGAAAATAGCAATATGGCGATGAGATTGGGATGATTCAATTCAACCATGGGATGACAGCAGACTGGTGTCTGGATAATGGTGGAGTGGCAGCATGTTGATGGACTAGACCTATGAAGCCCAAACCCTGGCTACAACTGATTAGACAAGTCATCACTGATATAGTGCTGCATACATGTTAGTATGGTTGAATACCTTTATGAGATAGATTATCTTTGAGGTGAGACATTTGACCAAACCTGTTTGACAATGGAGTGTCTTCTACTCTTTCTTGTGTTTTAATTAATTGTCTTACTACGCCCAAGATTCTAATTGGCTTTCGTGGGTATTGATCAGAAAAGCCCTGGGTTTTGATTGGGTAGGACTTTTGTGTCATTCCAGGACAATAGGCCCTAGAATCAGCACATTTCCAATGCTGTTATGCAATTCAAGGGATCCAGAGGCATAGGTGAGTCGCATGTCTTGCAAAGAGGGTGGCCTATGATGCTTGTTCTTTTGCTGGAATTGAGTGTGTAGAAACTCACGGTTGCTAGGCACTGTTCTGTTTGTAGTATCCATATCAAAGCTGTAGTAGCTGTGGTCTGCTGCTTTATAATCCCAGCCGCTGATAAGAACCCATGTTGTATATTCTAAAGAGAAGATTATAAGGACGAAGATGACAGAGACAACACAAGTGATTTCCTTTTTTATCTGCAGTAGTATTTTGCACAATGAAAACTTTTAGGAAGTGGAACCTGTGTTGGTGGCTATAATTACACTTGGTGCATATATGATAACTAATGCATGGATGCTTACAGAAAAAGCAAAGGCTGCCAAACCAAGGAGCCACTTCGGATGGCGAAATGCTTGATGGTCAAATAGTGAAGTACCAACCATTGATCGATGAAGCAGCCAAAGCAATGCTAAGGCAGATACTAAAGATGACTATGCTAGAATCTTTGATCAATTTGGATAATCATTTGATAGAGAACTTCCAGTCTCTGTCTGAAACATTTGAAAGGTACTTCAAGTCAGAGTTCTCGCATTAAACTAATCAGAAGTCCCTGCAAATTCTGGAATTTGGTCTTGTGCCTGCAAGCTCTGGTTTTTCAGCTGTTCCCTTAGATTCAGCTGAATTTGGTTAGTCTACTGCAGCGGTAGCAGAAATGATTGGAACAGTTAAATTGACCAACATAGGAGTGTTATCTGCAGTTCCAGGGTACATTGCCCCATCTACGATACTATTGACATTCCAGTTGGGAATCTGGTGGTGGATTTGCCATAGAATTTGTATGTTGGTGCATGTGTCAGAGAATTTGTATGTCAATCCACTGACATTAGATGAGGCAATGCGACTTGAGACAGATGATTTTTTGGCACATACCGATATTAACTTTCATGATGATGAAGAGAAACTCCCTGACATTATGTATGCATTTTGATAGTGGTTATTCACGTCTAGCCCTCTGTCAAGTCCAGCTTACAGGGAGCAATGTGCAGAGGCCTCATTGAATGATGCTCTAACATATGGATCATCTTACACATAGATGGGGCTTCTTTCATCAGACACCAATATTTAGTATGGTATTTGCCTCTCTCTCGTTGCCTCTAGTTACTCTGGGAGCACCCTTGACAGCAGTCTATTTTGCTACCAAATGTCCTGCCTCCTTTAATATTCTAGGTAGTTCTAAAAAATTCGTCACTAGCTTGTCCGATTGATGCCTCTGTGTTTTCACATGAAGCTTTTTTAGAGTGGAACTTTTGCTTGAGATGGCATTCATATATATCTGGTTTTGTGTAAAAGTCCATTGCTTGAGCACCAGGTTGATTTTGTTCCTACTGTTCTAATCTCTTGAGTCTAATTAAGAGGACGATCTGGAGTTTGGTTTACGATAAAATGTAATCAGAAACTAGTGAAATTGGCCACTTCGATTTCGTTCAATACACCACATATTGAACACGATGTGGTGCATGTTTAGTTGAACTTGGTTGACTGGTTTGTTGCTATATTCAAAGACCTGAGTGTTCTCGTGATATGATAAATTGATTTGATTCAAGCATGGGTTTGGATTTGAGAGCGTTTAGTTCTTCTCGAATTGATTGTGGTAGACTACACCGTACGTAAGATCGATAATCGACATATAGCTTTTATATGGTACGGTGAAAGCGAGAAGGCTGATTCCTACTATCCTTTACGTTATTAATGGTGAATCTAAGTTAGTATTTATTATCTATATTATCTCTCAGCATTATATGAAATGATTGGTAATTGCTACTAATTGCTGGTAAATTGTAATACTAATGAAGATTATTTCGAGCCCAGAGAAAAAATTTCAGCCTAGTAAGGTTAGATCGAGTATAATAGTTTTGGGTTTTTTTTTCGTTATTAAAGTCGCGATATGGACCGTAGGTTCGCGCGATGTATGGCTCAGATCAAGCTTGACGAGCCGGGCTCATCACTAAACCGGGTTGCTTATCGGCTCGGGTCGACTCGGGTAAACTGCCGACTCTAGTTTCCGAGTCGATTCTAGCGGGTTCTTATAAAAGGTCAAAAAAAAAAAAACATAACGAAAAAGAAAAGGCCTCCACGCGACGCGACTCGACCAGCGTTTTTGGCTGCCGTCGGACGAGACGGCTCCCCTCTGCAACTGCGAAGGTCGCTTCCCCTCTGCCGCTGACGAAGGCGACCATCTATCCTCTGCCACTGTCCCGGGCACCTCATCCATCTGGTACCTCGTCTCTCCTCCCCTTTTCTCTTCTATTCTTTCGTCTGCGGTTCTCTCTCTTGTTCTCATTTCTCTTCCCCTTCTCTTAAAAGATATATTAGCTTGAACCATAAGCTCTTGTAACAATTATTGATGTTCCTTACATGGTTTTCTTGATATGTATGTATATTACATGAGATATTGAGATTGTTTATGTTCCTGTTGAGTGTTTGCCTGTTTCATGAAAATAGAGATATTAGCATGAACCATCAGCTCTTGTACCAATTGTTGATGTTCTTTACATAGTTTTCTATATTGAGTGTATATTACATGAGAAATTTATATTGTTTATGTTCCTGTTGATGGCCTGTTTCATGATAAAAAGATTCGAGTCGATACATTTATGAGAATATATTCACTGTGACATTTTAACAAATAGATTGGTTGCATCGATCAAAGCTAATTCAAACTTAAGTCTAAGACTATCAATGTGATCAGAAAGCGAAAGCAATGACAACGTGTCAACCCTAACCCTAAATTGGAGAAAGGGGGAGCTATGCCGGTAACAGCAAATGGTTCCTAACCTCATCCAAATCAGAGTACAGTATATCCTACTATCCGGCTACATGATAGAACCGGATTGGTCTATCTACAAGCAAGAGACTTAGCTAACTTGGGTTTTAGGATTCACTTAATATATATACTAGGTAGTCCTCTTGTAAAAACATTTATCATCTAATATGAAGGGGGCTAGGGTTACGACAACTATATAAAGAGTTCTTTTAAAGATCAAAAGATTCAACAACAATTATTACAATACATAACAGAAGCAAGGATCTGGATAGCGTGTGACTCACAATTGGGATGTTATTTAGACTAGGTCAAGCAAATTTATTTATGGAAGCAGCAAGCTTCGGCAGAGTGCATCTATTAATTACCACGTGCTCAGTATCTTATGAAAACTTGTGTTTTTATTTCAACAAAGCTTTTCCTTTCAAAGAGATCTTTTCTGCATTAGATTCAACAATTAAGTTTGCATGTAAGTGTCCATTGAACTGGACTAATGTATATTTCTCATCAAATCTCCTTCTTTCTTGGATTCTGTTGGATTTGTAAGCACTTCCCCATCCATCATTGGAAATAGGAATGTTTGCAAATGTGACTTCAATCTAAATCCTGCCCATAAGGGACATCATGGTTGTGACTTTGCTTAGGAATTTAATTTAGCAACTTTCACCAATCCATCACTTGTCTCTTACTACATTAGTTTGCACTGGGAGTGGGTTCTCGAGTTGGTTGGTTTCCATTTGTTTATTTTTTCTGCATGTTTATTTTTTTCTGTGCAGTATATATATATATATATATATATATATATATATATCCTAAATGGTTGCATGTTGTTGTGTCAATTATTAATCACTGTGGATTTCTTCTCCAAAACTTTTTTCTTGTTGTATTATTTTGTAGGGCTTCAGTGAGCCTATAATTAAGTTGGTTTTGAGAGTTGTAATTTTCTTCTTACTTGTTCTCCTTGTAGAGGGCATTTGTACAATTAGAATGGCAAAAGGATTAGTATGGCAACTACTGAAGACTTGGCAAGGAACCTAGCAAGTCATTGTACCATCAAATCTTGAGAAGCCTCAACCCCCCAGAACTCCTACTTACCCATGCTGCTCGTCTTGCCAAGAAAGCAGAGGTCCACAGCATCTTCTTGTTCGGAGCTGAAGAACGTTCTCTTCGCAACATTGCTGACCTCATTGATGCTGCTAATTACTCCCTTTCCATCCTTAATCAGGGTCGCCTCCCATAGTATACAAATGTCGATAGGAACTCTTGTTTGCCCTCTCACACTAATCCTTGGAACTGTCTATCGTATTGCTTCATTGTATTATGACCTTTGAAGTGAAACTTGTTAAAATATGCACTTTAATGAGGATTGTTAACCTGGATATCATTTATGCTTTGTTGCAGATCTATCGGAGTTCTATGGAGCAAGATCATTTTTATTAAAAGATAAACATAGAAATTTGTAACATTTTGACTAGATTAAATCTGAGATTGCTAAACTGGTCATCCATCAGTTTCCTGTCTCTGATACTCTCATGTCACTCCTGGACTTGTTTCCAAACTATTTTCACATCTGACATTTTGATGTTTTGTTCAAGTACTGTATACTTTCATATTTCTAAATGCTCTTTAATGTTGATTCATATCTTTTTGGAAATGATGATAGGAGGCCACCTTTGGAGATTCTGCAGTTTAATGTGAAGTTCGCTGTGTGCAATTGAAGCAGAGTTTGATCAATATTCCTAAACCACACACACACACACACAGCGAACTTTGAATTCTCGAGTTTAATGTGTGTGTGTGTGTGTTTTGGGGAATTATGTGTGTGGACTCGAATACGATATTTGAATTCTAGAGTCAAATGGATTCGGTGTTTTGGGGAATTAAATGGCAAGAGATAATGTAAAAGAAATGCAGTTTATATTTCTTACAAATTTCAATTACGTAGATGAGATTTTTTTTTTGGTTATCTGAGGGTTTGCTTCCCTCGTTTCACGTAATTCTGTAAATTATAAAGGGTAGATACGTAATCGGACTTGTCTCCCTCTTATTTCTTACAAAGTTCAATTACGTAGATGAGATTTTTTTTTTGGTTATCTGAGGGTTTGCTTCCCTCGTTTCACGTAATTCTGTAAAGTATAAAGGGTAGATACGTAATCGGACTTGTCTCCCTCTTATCTAACGGCTTCTTATCCTCCTACTTCACTTGTTTGGTTCTCTTCCTTTACTCGACGCGCCGATGGCCGCTGCTCTCCTTAACTCCCCGCTCTCAATCTCTACGCAAAACCCCAAGAAAACACTAGGGATTCCTCTGCAAGATTTCCCTCTTCTCAACCCTCGCTTGTCCCGCTTTGATCGCAGAAAGCTGATATCGTCGCCGTTCTCCTTCTCGTCTCTTATCCTCTCTAATAGAAATGGCGTCTTGAACCGGCTGCAATCAGTTTCTGGCGGCCATGTTTCCGCGATTCCTGTTGAATCGAAAAACTATGAGGTCTGGAATATGATTCTACTTTTCCAAATCGAATTCGTTGTTCTTTTGTCGGAGTACCTTGATCTGCGGATCATCACGATCCTAACAGTTGATGCGCGGAAGAGATTTTCGTTTGATTCATGGATGAGACTTGGAGGATAACTAGTTCATTACATAGGAACCCATAACCTTTTGCTTTCGTTCTTTGGTACGGTCATTATAATTTCTGCAATTGGACGATCATACGGAAATATGACTAATTATATATTACCTTGTAATTAGACCTCTTTAGCATCCCAATTTTTAGACTTAAAAAATTTATATTAAAATCCCTAATGAAAGTGAAACGTGTAACTCTATTTATTCAAAGGTCGTCGGTTTTACCAACAGAAGTACGAAAATGATGGGCAAAAAAATAATTTCAATGTTTCAATTACGTTTTTTATGGTGGCAGACGATGTCGCCAATGAAGTCTGCAGGTCATTGTTGTGGATGAAAAGGAAGAGCAACGATAAAAGGTGAGACAAAAGGCGAGGAGGAAGAGGACGATATAGATGCCGACGCTTTGCATCTGCATTGACACCACTCGGCAACTACGTTGATGCCGATAACGATGCAAGGAAGGGTGGTGTCGCTCTGCATCTGCATCGTTGTCGGTGTCGATATAGATGTCGAGTGGTCCTTTTGTCGTTATGCATCTATGTTGGTGCTGACGTAGTTGTCGAGCGTCACTGATGCAGATGCAAAGAGTCGACATCTACGTCATCCTCTTCTTCCTCTCCTTTTGCCTCATCTCTCATCGTCGCTCTCTCTTCTCATCCACAATAGTCACCCACGGCCCTCAGCATCTATCACCATCAAAAACATAACTGAGATATTGAAATTACCTTTTTACCGATCGTTTTCGTGCTTCTATTGGTAACACCGACAACGTTAGGGTAAATGGAGCTAGATGTTTTACTGTCATAACTATAAAGATTTGAATATAAATTTTTTTTAACTCTAGGGACCGGGATGCTAAAGAGGTCTAACTACAGGGTGTAATATGTAATTAGCTCCACGGAAATACAGGGCTAAAGTGGAAGTGTGGGTACAGAAACAATCTAACAAAACACGTTTTGGTTATATCTTTTATAGATTTTTTTTAGGAGCTATCATCTCGGACCAGGGGTTATCATTCTGAGAGAATTGTAATGCCACATTTTAGGGAGGGAAACTGGCATAACATAAGTTTTTGGACCTAGTGTGGGGTGATCTAAGAGTTATTATTTAGATTAAAACAACAATATATGGTGTAATAGAATTTAAGTTTCACTTAATTTTTATGAGGAGAATCACTCATCGCTGAGTTGCTAATTTTATATTTAATTCATACCTCAATGTTACATTTTTTAGAACATTTTGTTTTCGAGCATGATAGAATGTCATCTATTCTTGAAGTGTCATCAAATTTGTTGTCAGTTGTGTAAAAGAAAATTGTATGTTATTACTTTTGTTGTGTCTAACGTCATGGATGATTTCTCTTTCTGATGGTCCTATGGTTAAATGTCACAAAACAATCTTGTCAATGTTCGTTTTACCTGTTAAATGCAACTTTATGCATGCACTTTATAGTATCTGAGAAAGTTATGTTATGTCGCTGTGGCTCATTGACTCACATCCTATATGTAATATTTTGTGCAGTTCTCCGATGGTGATGCAGACGTAGAACTGAGACTTGATATTAGTAAATTAGATATCATGAGCCCCAGTGATATTTTTGTGGACATGGATGAGACTTCGTTATTAGTTAGAGTAAAAGCTTCTGGGACTCTCATAACTCTTATGGAAGCAAATTGTTTGTTTGAGAGGATAAAGCCTTCTGAAACTATATGGTTGGTACAGATGGAAATGCTGAAAGTATAGGAAATTCTTACAATATAAATGCGCCTTTGTTCTTAGATACCACTTTATGAAACTCACTTTTCCTATCAGGTATATAGATGAGGATCAGCTAGTAGTTAACCTGAAAAAGTGTGACAGAGATTTAAAGTGGCCTGATGTGATGGAATCCTGGGAGTCTCTTACAAAAGGAATCCTGCAATTGCTGAAAGGAACTTCAATCTACATTGTTGGAGATTCCACAGAGATAAATGAAAAAGTTGGCAGTGAACTTGCAACTGGAATTGGGTATGGTTCTTCTATTTTGATTTTCTTCTGTTCCATACAAGTCAGCTATCCATATATAAAATTACCTCATGGTAATCGACGTGTTGCTGAAGCACTGAATTAGTTCTTTAATTTGTTTCCTGCTGGCTGCTAAGTGAAACTGCGCTGTTGATGACTAAGTCGTATCGTTCCTGCATCAGTCGATTAATTCAGGCGAATATATACATTTACAAAAACCCATTTTATTTTTCATGTATGTGATAAGAAGATAGAAGGCTGGAAGTTCCTCTCCCATTGGCATCTCATGCTTATCTTCGAGAGACATTTATGTCCTTCCAAATTTCAATGATTTTCCTTGCTGTTCTTCTGTTGCATCATTAGTGTCCTTGTTTGGTAGCCATGTAGCTGCGATATGCACATGGAAAGTTTTGATGAAATTGAGATAGAAACAATAATGAACTGAGATAGCAATCTTTGAAACTGCATGGTAAGCAAAACATTCCATGTATTTTGATTTTCCTCTATACCATCTACTCAGGACCTAAAAACTAGTGTGTCCATGTAACAAAAATAAAATACTGTAAATGAATGTGAACAATCTGCTTATAAGAACAATAACTTCAGTACCTTGGACTTCATCTTTAAGCTTAGCACATTCATCAATGATGACAAGTAAATAAATTTTTATTTTTTATTAGAAGCTGTTCCAGAAACATTACCGAGGAATATACAGGAAGCCCTTAAACTTCAGTACTCACACCGAAATCCTCTCTATGACTACACAACTGCTTGATACTTCAATTATTCAATTATTTGTTATTATTAAAATTATTGAATAATTAAGAATACTTGGATAATACTTAATCGATACTTCTTGCGAGAATGTTTTATTTTCAATGTTGATCATTCGATCACGGATGAGACAGTTATCTGTTGTTTGTGTTTGAAGTCACATTGTGATTTATGAAATCGAAATGATATTTACACATTTATCATAAGTTCCTCTCAGCTTCTCTATATGATTTCAAGATATGACTATATATTCAGATGCTGTAATTGAATATCAAGTGCTTTCATACCTAATGCATTGGTTTTTGCAGTATCCACACCATATGGTATCCTAAATTTTCAAGATTTGACAAATTGGCATACCCGTATTGTGTTGTATCTGTATCCTATGTTGGTTTCCACTATTCAAAGACTAGCATAAACTATGCCACTAATCTTTACACTAATTTGGCTTGATTTTCTTAACTTTCTTATTTTTACAAATTTAGATATCTTTTCATTAGATTAATTCACATTTCGGTACTAGATATTTATACTATTTACTTTCTTTTATTGGATATGCTGCAAGGTATCCAGTAACCAATGTATTTTGTCTAGTTTGCATCCTGCAAGTTATCCAGTAAATGCATATGATATATTTACTTGTATGCTCTGATGTGACAAAAAGAGTTGATCGGAAATGGTCTCTTACATTTTAAGGTCCTCAAGGTCAATATTATCATGATTTTGCAGATACATTCCATTTAGTACAAGTGACTTGCTGGAGAGATATGCTCAACAATCTATTGAGTCATGTAAGTTTTCTTTAGTAATTATCAAAGACTCATTCATGCTAAAGTAGTTAGAAGGCATACATAGATCATGAACATTATTTCCGGAATTTCTAGTTCTTTATCGTATATATTGCTTCCTTCTCCATGGAAGTTCTCATGTTGAATAAAGGATAAAGCCTATATAAATTTGGATAAAGGAATATTATTCTAGGCAGAGAAAATCTATGACTGACTTGATTGTCTATTGGTATTAATATCTAAGAAATATCTAATAATCATGTTATATACTTGGCTGGCAAGTGTTGTATTATCTTGCACTTGTTTCTGGACATAAAAATGAAATGGCTTTACAGTTAGGAGATCATATCATAAAGGTTTTAATTGACTAGCTTTTGTTTACTTTGTCACTGTGGGTAATCTACTTCAATAAGTACACCACATTAGGTCACTTTCGGAAAGATAATTGTCATGCTTGTTTGGAACTTGTAATCTCAATACTGATTTCGCAACTGGTGGGACTTGTACAATACTGGTATACCAACCTATGCTGCATGGTATCATAAAAAAAAGTAATAAAAATTTGATACCAATCAGTTCCAACCTTTGTGGTCCGCTTTGTCTTTGCTAAACAGTAAATACTGGTAGATATGTACCAATCAGGCTGGTATTTGAAACATTTCTTGCAAAACTTTTTCTTTTCGTATTTGTTGATAAATGGTTTCATGATACAAATATATGATATAAATTATGGATAAGAATTTCTAAAACAAGAAATCGATAGAACTTATTGGTATAAATAAACAATGAAAAGAGCGCATGAATGTGGCAAACGTATGCTCATGGATCCAAGCCGTCATTGATATTATGTTCAGTCGATAGGAGTAATAAAGTAAGTTAATGTATAAACAAGTTTGATTTGATCCTAGGTTTGATCGTGAAGCATGAATAATACCTGAGCTGTTTATGTTATTCATGTTCATACTTCTTTGCAAGTGTAAGGCTGACATCCAATTGCATGATCTGGTGACAATGGGTCCCAAAGTTTAAATATGTTCTACACATGCAAAGAATAAAGCAAATGTGTAGAGCTGTTCATACTTCTTTGCAAGTGTAAGGCTGACATCCAATTGCATGATCTGGTGACAATGGGTCCCAAAGTGCAAGCATGAAGAGCAGCTCTACACATTTGCTTTATTCTTCGAGTCCCACATCGACTTCTTTGGATTTTCTTTTTTTTGTTTCATTAAGATGCACAAAAAACAAAGCACATGATGAATATGAAAGTTAGATCATGATAGTTCATGAAATACATTAGTCTTAGCTTTGTAAAAGATCTATCAACTCTTCCAGTTTAGTTATGCTAGAACTTCTTCATGCAGCAACTAAGTGTTATGAAGTTTATATCTCTGAATCATTCATAAATGCAAGATTGGAGACCCTTTGGTGCTCCAAAGTCTTCACTTTTTAATGTTATGCATTTCAGGGGTTGTTTCAGACGGAGCAGATTCTGTTGCTGAAGCTGAAGGTTCTATATTGCAAAGTCTTAGTAGGTACACTTTATAATTTTGTTCTTTTAGTAGTTTTGACTACATTGTGGAGAGTGAAAGATCAATCCAAGTTCAGTATGCTTTTAGCCATGCCCGAAGCGTTGTTGCGACTCTAGGAGGAGAGCATGGAGCTGCTAGAACACATGATAAGTGGCGGTACCTTCATGCAGGATTCACTGTTTGGTTGTCCATATCTGAAGCAGCAGGCAACGCCTTCTTTTACCATTATATGTTTGTTATGCTCATAAACATTGCATTTTTCATTCTGTAATTAACAATTTATCTTGAAATTTCTGAATCCTGATACGATCTCAGTTTTATAACAAGTGAATCTAGAAGGGTCTTCATTTTGAGTAGAACAGATAATTTGTATGATGTTTCTTATATTATACCATTACTGTATCCTGGGTTCAGATTGTTGACTATGGAATTTAAGGATCCTTACAGTTTCATCCAAGGAAAAGCAAAATAATAGTTGAGAAAACAAGTTTCTTGATTGACATGTAGCATCTCAGTTGTTTAGTTTTCTCTTTGAAAGTGCAGTTAGTCTTGATCATGGGATTAGGATACATGTACATAATATGGATGGAAGATTTTCATCTCTTTTCTCTGTTTAAACATCTTCCTTTGTCCTTTTGGTGGATGTCATGGTTGAAAGATGATGATGCATTGTATCTAAAATTTCAGGACCACTTTAATCTAATTTGACAGAGGTAATTTCTTGTTTGGTTTAATATTTAAGCAAATAGTAAGCTAGAAACAATTATAAAAAAAATATGAATTAATAAGCTATATTGGAGGGATGTTTAGGCATTGGACCCAAGAACAAACAACTTTCAAAGCCATTAATTGACTGAAGGTTATAATGGGCCAGCCAACAAAACATTGGCATGGGTCTGGCCTACCTATAACAGGCATTTCTCGTTTCATTTGATTGGTTCCAGGTGGAAAGGATAGTATATGGTGCCTACTTGTTTTATTGATCAGGTCAAGACAGCTTGATGTAGCTGACCTGATCAGGGCAAACTTTGTTACATGTAGCATTGCTACAATACTAGAGACATTAAGTGCCATTTCTGTTGTCTCATGCATGAGACATTATTTTTTCATATCAACTGCTGCATCATGATATATTTGGACACTGAATGGAAAGAAGTAAGCGGTATCTATTTTCAATTTAGAGTGCTAACTGCTAACCTAGTCACTATCATATTGAGATAATTTATTTCATGATGATCGATGTTGGTTTGCTGATGCAGATGAAGCTTCTGCTAAGGAGGAAGCCAGAAGGCATGTACAAGACGGAAGGCTTGCTTATTCAAATGCTGATATAGTTATGAAGCTTGGTGGATGGGAACCAGATCAGTCGCGAGTTGTTGCTCAGGCTTGTTTAAGTGCACTGAAACAATTAACCCTGTCAGACAAGCAGCTTACAGGTATGGAGATATCACTTTGTCGGTTGTTATTATGTTCGAAGTTATACAAATTGGGATCTGCCGTAAAGCAAATTCTTTTATGCCAACCATGTTCAAGATAGAATTTCATTGATGTCTTCATTTGCAACCTCACTGCTCCAAGGAGCTTCCCGAACTAGCAATCGTTAAGATGCACATATGGATCGTGTAACTTGAAGCTGTAGCATTAATTAAAATAGAATAGCTGATCTGAAAAGGACTGCTGTTACTTTTTCTAACTTTTGCACTTCATCACGAGCTTGAGCATGCATTTCGTTGTATCGAAACCAAATTATGTTATATATAATGGTGGAAGTACAACATAAAGCTGCATCTTAGCAGCATCCTTAAGAATTAGAACATTGTTAATCCAAATTAGTTTTTATCTGTATTAAAACCACTCAATAGTGGTACACACTTGAGTTGTGTGGTACTGTGGTCCTAGTGCTGCTGATTTTTAATCAGGTTGTAACTGGATACATCTCACAGGGAAGAAGAGTCTTTACGTCAGATTAGGGTGTCGTGGAGATTGGCCAGACATCAAGCCCCCAGGATGGGATCCATCAAGTGGAGTAGACCCTCCTGAGTCCTAAAGAAGCAATCACGGGATCTTGTGATCTCTTCTCGTTCAGAGAAAAGTCGAAGTTCCAACGAGAACGTGCATTGAGAGGTTTGTTTGCCTTGAACTGTCCTTTTTCATGTGTGTTTATCTGCCATTATTATTATTATTATTATTACGTGTTTATATGGATTTACGCAGCAGATATTTCAATAATTAAAATGTTTTATTCTCTCCTGACTTCGCCCATGTACAGATTCATATTTGTTTGTCACGTATTTATAACATGAAGTTGATTTCTAATCATATGCCTCCAGTCACATGAACCAATCATATCTCTCTGATCATGTATTGTAGACCTGCTTCTATGCATTGTAGACCTGTTTACAGTGTTATGATTAAAGATGTATTTTTTATATCAGAGAGTTACAACCAAAGAAGAAATATCAGAGAGCATAGGTCGAGATCTATGAATTTACCAACCGACTACATTTCGCCGAAATGGAATGTTGTTCTCAGTCACACATCAGATTGTGTCTGAAACCACAAACCGCATTCGAGAAATGCTAGTCCGAGACGGATGATGATAGATAGGCTCAATCTAAACAAATCACATCCATGAATAATTAGTCAGTGCATTTTTAACTGATGTCCCTTTTTCTTCAGGACCATGCGAGGATTATTTGCATATTGCACTACGAACAAAATGTCACTAGAATTTTCTTTTATTAAGAAGCCAAGCAAACGAACTGTTCGCGCTGTCCCAATCGCTGCGATTCCACGTACTCAAGTGCCCCCGCCATGGATGGATCAACCGCCCTCTCCGAGAGAAGAGATCGATGCGACTCTGCCAAAATCCTAAACCCTAGACTTCGGCCTCCTTGGCTTCGTGTCCTTAGGTGTTGCCTTCGACGAATACGAAATGAAGGCGGCGATCCAACGGACTAGTGACATATTACTCGCTTGTAGTTAGATCTTATGCATTTTTAGGCTTACAAAATTTATATTAATATTATTATAATTATAAATATAAAATATTTAATATCACTTATCTTAATATTATCGATTTTATCGACGAATGATATAACATATCACAACACAAAGAATTATAGATTTTATCATTATCGATTTTGTCATTAGCAAAATGATCATTTAATGTATTATCGATTTCCCCCTTGGCCAGTCCTAGTTCATCTCTATCTCGTTGTCCCCCTTGGCCAGTCGTAGTTCATCTCTATCTCGCATATCTCGTTGTCCCCCTTGGCCAATCTAGTTCATCTCTATCTCTCATAGTTTTCTATCTCTTGCTCTTTCGGTAGACCATCGATGCCTATACCTCGGTACCATTGATCTTCGATCGCTCCCACGATGTTCTGCTCTACTATCGGTTGGCCATCGTCAGGAGGGAGCTTGTGATGGTCGACGAATTGGGTCGCTACTCCTAGGCCTTTATCGATGATGTTCACGTCTATGATGTGGTGTCATGAGTTCGACACCATGGGGCCCCCATCTCTAGCTTGTCATAATCCTCCTTGCGTGCATTGGGTTGAAGGAGCGTTGAATGATGTTTGTGGTTGGTGGGCATAACGAGAGAAAAAAACGTGATACGATCCACGCTAGCCTACATAATGACGGTTGATGTCGTGGATCCACCTGCCTGACATGGCGTGGGTGTATGACAAGTGTTGCAAGTTCACACTTGGCATGTTCCACATCCTTGGTGGCTTCCCCACAACGACACAGCCATAGTTCTTGCGGACCACGAAGGCCTTCGACGTGACTGCTTAGAGGTGGAGTGCAGTAGAGGAGGGGAAGCTAACGAAGGTGGGGTATTAGTGTATGTGTGTGGTCGACGGTGATGAGAGGATGTGTATGTGGCAATAAGGGAGAATAGTTGGAGGTGCTACTAGAGGAGGACGACAGGACATGACAATCACTAGTAAACGCACACGACGATGTGAAGGCATCGTACACGGGTAACAATAATGACAATCACTAGCGAACGTACATGACAATCGATAGTGCCTTAAATGACCACTTTGTCATTAGTAAAATCAATAATTTTGCACATGCTATCTTGTGTGTCGTAAGAAAACTGGTAACATTAGGATAAATAAAATTAAATATCTCATTTTCATAACCATAAGACATCATTATAAATTTTCAAATATAAGGATAGGAATTGTAAGAGGCTCTAATTATATAAGGTAACCTATAATTAACCCATAATCTGCTTATATAATTTCTGATAATTATTGTACTATAATCATAAAGAATAACTGTACCATCCGATTGAGATTCAACTATCCAGATACAATCAGGGGTTGTCGTCCCACAAGCATCTCAAAGCTGCGAGCTATAGACGCTACTAGCTTCGTGAGAGATTCTAATTTCCAAAAGACAGTTGAGTCGGCCCGAGATGGGCGGGTTGGAGTCAGATTGGGTTGACATGACTGTTATTACATAAAAAATATCATCCCAACCGTTGGATGTAATAACGGTCATTTCTTGATTACTTATTTATTAAGTAAATACGTAATACGTAAATTGAATATAATTGATTTATTAAGTAAATACGTAAAGGACGCCATTTCTAACTCTCTATTTTTTGGGTCAATTTACATTACTATTCTTTAAAAAAAATACAAAATTAAATAAAAATATATTTTATATAAAATGATAATTCTACCATTATGGTTAATCTCCATCAACTAACATTCCATTTGAAGGTGACAACTACATAAGACTGTTTTACTTGTAATCCACATGCTGCACATTTTAAGATCATGACATGGATTCTCCAACATGCAAGAGTGATGAAAAATGCAGTTGAGGTCTGATAAAAGCATAATTAAGGTTATGTTATATTTTTATTTAATCACATACCTCAGATCCAGTAGCTAGAAGAGTCATGCATGCTTTCCGGTTTCATATGTACATTAACATTAGGACAAGGCATCTCTTCTGGTCCACGTTGAAAAGTGCCTGAACAATATCTGCTTTGAAAGGTGAATTCATGAGCATGCCATCGACATGATCATCAAGCCTTGGAATGTTTACATCACTTCAAATCCATGGATTTCCAGACCTGTGGATCACTATATGTACTCAGAATACATCTGATCTTGTTCATTCAGGAGAAAGAACTTTACCATACCTGCCACATGTTATGCCTAGCCATGCCTCAATCCATTTCCTGAACAAAGCATTATACCAGTAAGCCATACATAAGACTTGCATCTGGATATAGATTGAGAACTGTAAGTACTTAAAAAATGCTTGGCTAACTTTGTTGAGTATATAAGCACAGTTTAATAAGGTAATGGTAGAGTGTCAGTTCTTGATGATAATAATACACATAAATGGACTTAAAAATTGAAGACACTCGAGGTCAGTTAAGTGCAGCGGGAAGAAGGAAGGCAACAGGTTTTGTGTATTGATCAGCAATCTGATGCAGTTCACAACAGAGTCATTCGGATAGCTTCTGCATACCATGTGAGCATGAATCTTGATTTACACAAAAGATTTTACCTGCAGATCCTCAGTAACATTTCAACATCATACCCAGCCAACGGTAACCTTTCATTAGTGTTCAAGAGCATGATAATGCACCCGAACACCTTTATACAGTTTCAAGATCGCAAACTTCTACTGTTCAACAAGGTAGCGGTATTGTTTTACTGTAATGTGTTCACTAGAAAAAAGAAACTTCAAGAGCAAAATTGAGCCTAGCATTCTGATTATGCACTTATTAAAGGGTTTATATAACATGACAATCATATCAAGTAGAAAATAGATGCTCGAGTCCACCTCAAAACTATTCAGATTTCAGAGTACCTTTAAGATGAGATGACATCCAGAGATCATAAAAAATCCCAATCTTCCTTTGAAAGATCAACGTTTTCAACCCTCTCATCCTCTGTGATTATCTGGTGAGAAGATACAGGGTCAACTATACAAGAACATCTCATATTATTAGAAATAATCTATGAACAACAGAATTCCTTACAGTGTGTTTTCTAGAATAGCAATCAAATTCCAGTATAACTCCTCCATAATACCTGCAATACTTGATACTTGACCTTTGTACATTAACAAAAAAATAAAAAAATTCAAGGAAAATGAATAACATTTGAAAATGAGCACAAATGTGATACCATAGAACACAACCAGAATAACTGGATCTATAAGGCTCTACTTGGATCCAATGACTTCTAACATAGTGGTGCAAGTTTTTCGATATACTGCATGTCCCTCGGATGTCAATGTTCAATAGTGTATGCTTACTGGCAAAGGTTAGCACAAGCCCAATGTCAGCCACACATCGCATTGAGCTTCACTACCTCAATTATTACTATAGCTAGGAGCCCTATAGATTTGTTCTGCTTAATTTGGCCATTCGGGATACAGACCTAGGACATCGTGATCAAGCAATCAAACCCAGTTCGACATAAGCTAGTATATGTCTTGACATTTTTGTATATACGGCACAGTATCTTTTTTTCGTTCTTAGATGATCTCATTGTTGACACCGTTCATCATCTTCAATACTTCATAGGAATTGGTTGTCAAATAACAATTGGTCCAGACAAGATCATGTGGCCAGGCTCTCACGAGTCTACATGTATAAAAATGAACTGAATTTCAAATATGAAGACAGATAAATTGGTGCCATACACATATTTGATGCAAGAAACATTTGAAGCTCTAGCGTCAATCATAAAGGGATCTAGGATGGACTCTCACAGCCAAGAATTATCAAGCAAAAGAAGATAAAAGGACGGAGAACAAGACTGATTTTATTCATTTATCTGATCATTAAGAATCATTTTAGACCTCATGACTCTCTAGTCAAAACCCCCATAAACTCCCAAATAACTTCCATAGGGTCCTAGTCATATAATCCTCTTTTTCGTCTGTCACCACTCATTTTTCCATTACCACTCACCATTCATTATCACGTCAAATTTTAACATCTTAAAAAATAGCTTTACCCATCAAATGGGATTCTAACTTGGTGCCTAGTTATAGAGATTTCTTCTGATGCTGCATGTCAATTACCACAGGAGTTAGAATTGATGTGTTGTCAAAAGTTCTAGTTCAGGGGATATGTAACCGGTGAATTTGGACTAAAATTTTTTCCAACTATTAATAATGCTAACTTCTTATCTGTGACATGTGACATGACAAGCACCACAAGCTGTAAAGTAATTGGAGCCCAACCAACATATGGAGCATTCATATTTTGTTATGGTTAGTCATCCCTAAATTCCATGAAAAGAAATGAGAAAAACCAGTAAAAAGTATATACAGTTTGCAGCTTTACCTCATACAGGTTATCAAAAGATGATGTCTCAAAGCATGTAGTTAGAAAGAGACAATTGGTACCTTTTATACTGAGGAGACCAGATTCGTACAACTTCATAGATGCAATTATGGAACTCACTCTTTCTTTTGCGAGCAACAAAAGATGGTGATCCTTCTGGTTGAACAAGAAAGAACGCATCGATCATATGAGTAAAGCATACACATGAAACACAGTACATACACAACTTTCTTAATCCTAAAATGCTATGATTTTATGTAGATAAAACTACATTGATCAAAAGCATGATTTAATAAACTGGATTCTTCCTTACCCATATTTAATCTCCCACTTTCCAGATTCTGTCAAACAGCATTTCTGAAAGTTAATTATTTAATCATCATAGTATAGACAAACTAGCATGAAAACTGAACAATAAAAATGCAGTTGTACCAACTTATAATGATCACAATTAAGATGTTAAAAAAATCACAGTGATACACTAGATTAGAACTTGCAAAATTTATTAATAAAAATGTGACAAATCACACAGAACATAAACTGAGTAAGAAACAAATAAAGGCAAATTTCTATTTATATAGATCAACAACGGTGTTTGAACATAATATAAGAAAAATATCAACAATGGCATCTAGGTAAGATATAGACACAAGCAAGGCACACAATTTGGTCAGGAAAACCTTTCTTGCATGCTAAGGACCTAACCCATTATAAAGATCTTAAGTTCAGCTCCCATCCAATATCATAGATTGATCAGTTAACCATAAGCCCTATTCCAGTTAGGATCAAACTTAAGGCCAACTCTGAAATGATAAAGTGTAGATTTCTCTTCACATGACCTCAGGTTGCCTTGGCAATTAATGAGGCTGGTACATAGTAGCTGAGACTTTTTTGATATAGCGAATTTATGTGATTATTCTTTTAAGTCTTCGTATCTTGGTCTGGTGTTACACCATTTATTTCATCCTAATCCCGCTTATGCCAATGCTCTTAACTTTAACATCCATTTCCAATATTCTGTCTCAGGGTTATCCCACTTTACCCTCATTAATCAAAACAATATCAACAAAGATTTACATTATTAAGGAATAGCTTCTAAAATGAAGTAGTACCAAGTAACAGTAATGATAGACTGATTTATATTACCCGGCAATGTCTCTTTGACTATAAACATCAAAAATATGCTTCCAGCAATCAAAAAGAAAGTACATAGTCATGATCTCTAAAGCATGGAATTGTTCTCTAATTAAGGAATTAACTCAGTCAGTGTTGAAAGCCTTTCATTTTTTATCTGAACACTCGTAAGTTACGCCTGTTTAAAAAATACATAACCCGTTGGATATTTTCTTGCTCATGATGGAGTTTTCCATGTATGATAGTAAGCATCTCTTTAGATTAGAATACCATTTGCAACCCATGAGTAATAAGAGCATCAAGTTTCTGGTTAAGAGAAAAACATTGGTCTCCATGCTTGATAACGTTATCTTTAGATCTTTAAACCAATGATAATTTGGAGCTTGACAAATGAAATTGTAGCATAAGAAACTTACGGCTTTTCCATACAGAAGTGCTTTTGAATTGGGAGAGGAAGCTGCAATCTCACAAAGAACTAGTTGCAAAGCAGTGTCTGAAGAAGAAAATTTCAGCTTGCTAGGCTTGTTTCCCAATTTCTTCCTGCAACCTACAGAACCACAGTAGCAATCTTGATCTGCTCCAAATTGTACAAACCTGCAAATCTAATCGCACTGGTTATTTTATTCAGAAAACACCAAGCATAAGCATTATCTATAACAAAATGTTTTTGTGACAAAAACCATGACAAACACAGTATGTAAAAGAGCATACTGATAATCATATGTTAACTCCTCTCCCTTCTTTATATCACGAGTTGCAAATATACCAATGCGTATTTCACCATCAATTGTCCTATAAAAGGAATAATATGAGACAGTTTTTTTTTTTTTTAGTTCAACTGACTGCATGAGAGAAGTATAGAAGATAACCATTTCTGCATCTCAGTATTCGGCTGGCAGCTATGATTTATAAATCTAGACTTGTTTCCCTTGTATGTAGCATCAATGACCATGTCCCTGTTGATCTCACACAGGTAAAAATTCGTCTCACCACAATGCTTCATTTTCCACAGCCTTTCTTCACAAGTTTTGTCATCAATTACTGAGAAGATTTAGAAAAGGAAAGAACATTTAAATTATAGAACTATGAATATCTCTAATTTGATAATATAGTGATCCTTGTCATGTATTTACCTTCACCAACATATTCTATCACAAAGTCTCCTTGTCTTATATCCTCCTCGGTTACTACCCCAGATCCACATTTTTCTGTCTATAAATCATAGATCAGATTAATATAGTACAATATTTATATATTTAATCTGAAGAGATTACCTCAAAAGAACGAAAGAAATGACAAATTGAGAGAAGCTGCAATTGTCAAGCTCATTATTTGTCCTTTCAATTAAAAGAAAAGATAAAATCATAAAACAAAGAATTCTGATTTTCTCAACTCTAATATAGATGCAGATAATAATTAGGATTTAGAGGTAATTAGTACTTCCAAGCTAAGCAAAGAAAAGGTTGCATGAAGTATCATAAAACTTAAGTTACATGTCCTAGCAAAGAACCTTGAGATTGAGTTAAACAATGTGGGAGTGAGATTTGTTGTAATACTAAGGACATGACCAAAGCGTGTTATTTTACATTAGTAATAGAAGAAGGCCAAGGAGGAGAGAACCCTACAACAACTTTATCCTTTTAAAGAAAGGGCTATTGAACACGTATGCTATGGCAAATATATGAGAGGATAGAATTTGCTGTAAAACCTACATGTCGTGGACAAGTGAACTCCTACCTATAATTGGCATACACTAACAGCCAGCTTTAAGTCTTAGATATAAACGGACAGTATACTCCATATATTGTTTGCTAAAAATGTCATTTTAATTTACAAATGTAAATTACAGTTTCGTTATTGATAAGATTTAGGGAGATCGGTTTGCAAGCCAAGACCTAGAATAAGTAGGAATTGAGATGACAGGCAAGAAATGTAACTACGATACCAAGTTACCAGTAACCAAGGATAATTGAAATAAGTGGTCAAGAAATAAAGATGAAGTGAATATCCTTAAGAATAATAAACAAATTAGAATGCGTATCAGGTGTGTTGCTCAACCATTAAATATATATTCCAAAGAAAATTTTTGTTAACTACAGAAGGAACTATGCTTTCTAGTTGACATACTCAATGTTTATAAAAAACCAAAAGTTAATATAACTTAGAGAAGAATGACGGATGCTTGGTACAAGAAGTTCAATTGTTTGATCTCATTGGAAGTAAGACAAAGGCAGAAAGAATAGCATGATCACATTTGAAGTTGAAATGTCTGAGTGAATCATGATTACCATACTTGAACAGTTGGAGGATCCACGTAATCCAAGCAATCATTGAACAAATTTGGAATAAGGGTAACAGTAGAGATGGATAGAAAACGGTATTAGAAAGGATGGACAGGAAACAGATCCAGCCACTGGTTTTCTTGCCCAACCATTTCCCGTGTGAACTATGGAAGAGCACACTTCATACACAATAATTCCCTATTAGTCACAAAATGCCATAGAGATGAATCCTCCAAAGAGAATCTCAAGCAAAAGGGGAGAACAATTCCATCTGATCGAGATTTGTACCTCAATTAACTTCATTTTCTTCACAGGCCGATACTGGAACGGTTTGTTCACACATAGATTTCCACACTTGCAACTTTGAGAACAACAAGACAAAAGCATCCTGTGGAACCAAAGAGAGCTTCTTCTGAGTGAATCTAAAGCTAGTAATGGAAAATGATAAAAATAAAACGCACACAAATGCAAACTCATTACCATATGGCTAAGTTGTAAGAAGATTGGTAAGTACATGGAAAAGGAGTGAATGGAGTATATATGCAGCCCAATTCAATAAAGCATCCAAGTTGACATATGCTCCACCATAAAACTTACCCACAGAGGCAATCTCTGCCGCAAACAACCGAATTTCCCGGTGATGGGCTGCAGGAGCAGAAGATGCCATCATCTGCCGCACGCCTTTTTATCCTTTTAGTGAGATAAACATCTACTTTAGTCAAGAGAAGAAACATTTGTCCATCAATACAAGATAAATATCTCCATTCTTAATCTTTTCCCTCCTGACTTCTCTTAGCTTATTGTTTCTATCACTCGGATTCGATGCCATACAGGACATGCATAAACATTTAAACTGTTGCATGGCAAGGGGAAAAGGGATCAGCGAGGGGGATTCGGGTATGGGAAGGATACTGCGCCTTATGAAGTTGTAGGGCGCTGATTTCTGCTTCTTCGACCAGTCCGGCAGCTGGAAATCCACGGGCTCCTCGTCTCCGAGCTGTTGCATCAGCTGTTGGAATACCGTTCCGCCACTGCCGCCGCCGCCGCCGCCGCAAAAGATCTGCCCTCTCGCGCAGGAGGGTGTAAGAAGGATCAATAATATACATGAATTCGTCAATCTCAGGCAAAACAAGCACACCAGGAAAGGAAAGATGAAACGATTCGCCCTTCGACGAAGAAGATCGCATTCGGAGGACAAAATACCTTGTTCTTCATGACCGAGATGATCAGATCGCAGTTAAGGGCGTGTGCTCAAGGGAATCGAAGCCGACGCCATTGCTGCGGTAGAAATGGAGAGTGTGGGATCGAAGAGAGACGCCACGGCGAAGTCGTTCGGATCACCTTTGCGTTGCACGCCCGTTCCACTTCGGTGATGATCACTCGTTCCGTTCCGAAACAACGAGGACTCCATATGTGGATCGAATACGATTGAAGCCCAATGGGCTTAACCTTTTCACTGCATAAATTTCTTTAATTATTTAATATTTCTATTCAAATATTACATCATATATATATATATATATATATATATATATATATATATATAAAACAGTAAAATAATAATATGCTGATCGAATAGTTATGTATATAGCACATTTATCGTTTTAGATTTTGTGATCCTTTATAATTAGATAAAAATATATATAATATAATTAATTAGATTATGATGAAATATATTGGTCAATAGAATAGAAACTCATTTAAAGTATGATTCTTTATGAGATAATTTTGATAAAAGAAACTCTCATAATTACTTATCATATATCCTCTACGCTCACCTATAAATAAACAGGATCTGAACATAAAAAGAAATAGAGAGATCTCTCAGTTGAGGGATTACAGTCTTTCCCTCAACTCTTCTCCTTAATAATCAATCTCTTCTACTTAATAATCAATCTAGATGATCCTGTACTCAGATATTAAAAGTTATGAATCATTAAATCAAATCTAATTATTTGATTTCAATCATGAAAATGACATAAAAGATTACGAAATTATTCTTACAGATCGGACATACCATCACTTGTGTTTGAAAGGAAATTGAAGAAATATTTTCTCACGGCAATGCTAACAAGGATTTATCATTTAAAATGATGCATTGTCGCTCTTCCTCGAGAATGTCAATCTCTAGCTTTTTAGTGCACTACTATTCTCAAAAATCAATGTGTGCATCACGTTTGTTAATGGTGGGTCGTTTTTTACCATCATGGATATTTGATAACATAAGAAGAAGGATTTCATAGCAGTCGAGAGTCTGATGGAGGTTGGGTTTGGGTCTCGGAGTGTGAACCTCAGGGCTTGTAAGACAGAAATAAGTGTGAGTCTCATTCAAAGGTCAAGTCAAAAGGATGGGAGGATGCTCAACAAAGAATGTAGAGAATGTACAATGGTCTTTCATATCTTCGATTGACTTCGCTTTGTCTTTATCTCTCTCCTTTTCATCGTATTTAACTCCTTTAAAAAGGAGATAAGATGACAAGATGCAAGCACTATAATAGCCATTATAGTTATTCAAGAATGCACAAAGATTTTTGAATGATTATCTCGAAGCTATATAGTCTAAATGATCATCAAGAACTCATCTTATATATTGTTTATTTTTTAATTAAATTATGACATATGTGTATTGAATTTTGAACTTAAATTTTTATGGGTCATCATCATAAAAATATTATAAATCTCACATTTTGCATGAATGAAAAATTGAGAGTCTGTAGTACCTAATCGAGAAGAGAGTTCTTAAGGATAAAATGAAAGGTCATATCCTAAGTATTATTTCCCAATCAATCTTCCCACCATAGTCTTTCTATTTCATCTTCAATTATCACTATCACAACAATATTACCCCCACTAATATCAACAGAAAAAAAATTTCTATTATATTAAGAACTATTTGCAGGAGGAATGTTTCTTACTCTCAAAGTGTATTAATTCAAAAAATATGATTGATCCAACCCTTCAATTATATCTTGTTTAGAACTAATTCTTACATACTTCATATTTGACTCTTTGGTTCAAAATGAGCCTCTAACCTTTTTTGTTTTTCTTTACTTAGTTATTTTATATTTATTTTATATTTATCAAATTATTATTTAAATTTATTAAAAAAATAATCAAGTCATAATTAAAAAGATGCGTTAACTTTTTGACTTTTAGTAACTTTTACTGTATCATTTCTTTTTGCTCACCCTATACAACATCACTCACCCCAACATCACAAGTGTTTGAGATTCGAAGCAAATTATGGACGTATGATCATAGGATTAATGCAACTCATACTTTTTTTTTTACTTGAAGCAATTGTGATGATAGAGTGAACTTATGATAGAAAAATGATAGTCAATCCCATCTAGCGTTGTCGATCATACTTTGAAATCATGAAGATTAAAAAAGTGTGAATTCTATCTTATTGAGCACTATGGCATATCATGTCTAACATATGAAGAACATGTATTAACCGATGTGATCCTCAAGATGATACCAACATATGAAAATCGAGATAGAGACTTAGAAAACTAATATGAAAAATTAAAAATTGATATCATATAAATAATTTTTATTATTAATAATAAAAAAATAATATATAAGAAATGACATGATAGGCATATGATCGTTGCATGATAATATATGGCTACACAAATTGACTATCGGAAGATCATGTTGGTCGTACGTGACTAACATGTGATGGTCCTTAAGTACGCTCTTCTAATAGAATTTTCATCATCAACTCTAATCGATAAATTCGACTAGTTTGATCAATCCGAGCCCCTAAAAATTTTTTTGATCGTAAAAGGCGGCATTTATTAAGAACGTTATTGACTAAGTTTTTATAAGTTTGATGTATCGTGAACCATGAGATAGACTTGGAACGAATCTCGATTATCCGAATCATCTCTCCGATTTGAATAATCAAAATTTATATGAAAGGTATTTAATTGAATGAGATATTTGGTGGCATCCGAACTATAATTGTTGTATTAAATATATCATCACAAACCAAATTATCTTCAAAATAAAGAATCAAAGGAACTCTTTTTATAAAGTTTAGTTACGGTTGCCATTTAAAGGTGTTCTTAATCGGATCAAAGTGCCTCCACGGACATCGTAGGAACTTTTTTATAGGTAAAGATCAAAGTTTAGTTGTCTTTATGAGCAACGGTGAGCCCTCTTTCCCCTACTGTGGAAACATCAACTCCCTGTCATTGGGACGGTGGGATGAGGATGACACCGATTGATAAGATCACCAGAGTGGACCGGCGTTGGCCGCTTCCGCTCCTCCCACTTCGTGTTCATCCATATCCATGCCTGTGGTGGGAACCAACAGATCGAAAGCATGGAAACAATGGTGCAAGTTCTTAAAAGCAATGAGTGCACAACACGCGAGTGACGATGGCGAGGTCTCGCCACAGTCGTGTGTCGATAGAACACGTCTCAGTTGCACTCTCGAGGACGACCAGCCTTCCATCGCTGATGCGGCGACGAGGTGGCAGGGAAGCTTCGTTGACTCCGTTTCAAACTTGCCCGCATGGCTATTATGGCTGGAGAGCAGACTTTTGTTGACTTTGCCTCCGACTTGGTCTCGCTTTAATTACTTATCTCTTAATATAAGTGGCAACTTAATATATAATTTATATCAACAAAATAATAAATAACCATATAAAAAATAACATCTTCTAGTTAGATTAAGACCTGCATATGATACAATTAGAAGAAATAAAATAATTAGTACAAATAATTATTTCTTTTTTTGAAGATGAGACAGAGAGGATGGTATGATTAAAGCTGATCAAATTGGATTTGATGGAATCAGATGCAGTGTATTTGGATAGAGATAAGTCATTTCTAGTCCTAATCAGACACACTCGATTAAAGTCAGTGATTTTCTCATTTATATCTCTACAAATCTAAAAATTTCTGCTATTTTTGTGGCATTTTACTTTCTAGATAAATATTTTTTGCATTTTTTACGTGGTATATTTATTTACAGGGATAAATAAGTCATTTTGAATTTACAAGGATAGATAAGTAAAAGCACCCAACTTCACGTGTTTCTGTACATACCTACCCACACTTTTTGGAGGAGATGACTGTCGTCAGTGATTTGAGGTTTCCGCAACACTTTTCGTCGTACGTGTCGGCAGCAGACAGCTTTAAAACCGTCTCCATCCAAAGGCGTTCTTGTTCGCGTTTCCCTTATAAACAACAGTAAAAAGCAATTTCGCGATTGAATTAGAATGTAATGAGTGACTCGATTGATTTTTACTTATTTAAAATGATAATAAACGATATATTCTATATCTTAGTGATGCGGGGGGCATCTGTTTAAGCCGTGGCCTCGGGGCCGTCGCGGCTCGGTTCGGTGGTCCGGATGTCAGGGATCTCGAGCTCCGTCCCTCGGGGTCTCCCGTAGGCCGAGCACGGTGGTTCGGGTCGGCAGGTCGGCGGTTCGGGTAGGCAGGTCGCTCCGCCGCAGCGCCAGGAAGAGGTGACACCGTCTCGCACCTGCACACAGGTCGGGCCGGGAGCTCGGCCCGACCCCTCTGACGATCAAGTTAGCGACGTGGAGAGGGTTTTGGAGGAAGAGATGCCTCCATTCAAGTGTTGTGTGTGAGTTCCTCCTCCCATTCGTTTAGAGCTCTGGGGTATTTATAGATGAGTTTGATGTTACCTGATGTGGCTGCTTGCAGGAGGCAGGCTGATAGCGTCTGACAAGGGGTTGGCGTGGCGTGAAGAACCAACCCTGAGTTATGTGTTAATGCCGACTTCCTCGGGCAGTGTGTTGTCCAGGCATGCCTGACGTCATGGCATGTTGCATCGCCATTTTTACCCTTATCATATTCCCCCCCCCCCGAAAGGAGCTATGCATCGGTTGTTGTATAAGAGGAGTCGGATGCATGGCTTCTGTCTTCAGACGGGCTGGCCGCGCGGACGAGGTCTCGGGGAACATGGAGCCGAAGGGCTGAGGAGCCCGATGCAGGCGGGCTTGACCGCACAGGTGTGTCTCGGGAGCATGGGGCCAAGGAGCACGACGCAGGCGTACTGACTGCGCAGGCGTGTCTCGGGGACATGGAGCCAAGGAGCACGACGCAGGCGGGCTGGCCGCGCAGGTGTGTCTCGGGAACATGGGGCCAACGACGCAGGT